TTAATATATTTACTAATATTAATAAAATTTTTTATCATTGTCAAGTTTATGTTTCTTATATAGATTTGCTTTTAGACATTCTTATAAATAATTTATATTTATATAAAAAGAAAATAACAATTTATTAGAAATGTTTTTAACATTTACTAATAATAGTCTTAATTATTATGACATCTTTTGTTACATTAATATACTTAAAAAGATTTTGATTATTTAGAATATTACAAATAGCATTATATTATTTTTAAACTAATTTAACTGAAAAAGTAATATCAGTATTAAACCTTAGTTTATAAGATGTAGCTTTATAATATAAAAATTAGCAGTATAATGCATCTTAAAATTAATAAAAAAAGATTGAAAGTTTTAAAATCAGCTTTAGAAGAGAGATTTATACTTTTGTTTAGGTAATATAATATTCATTTTTTAGTATAGATTTATAAATTGATAATATAATTCAAATAAATGATATAATATAAAATAAACTTAAAAGTATATTTAATTTTAAAAGTTAAAAAACATATTATTAAATTTGCATATTTATTTATTTAATATTTAATATGCTATTATGATAATCCTATTAGGATATTTTTTTCATTATTTATTTTACACAAGTACTATATGGTAGATTTTCTCTATTATCCTTTATTTATTTCTTTATTTATTCTTTTTTTCATCAAAAAAAATATAGATTATGTATTTGTTTAGTCTGAATCTTTTTTTAAAATCAATATCTTGTTTAATTAACCTAATAAGTATATCAATTTCTAAAAATGTATAAATAAGATGATCAGGAGATTCATATATTAGGATAGTAGACAGTAAACTATACTAAAAATAATATAGCCATTTTGCTCAGTAAAAATTTATTTTTAACTATACTCAGTCATGATTTATAAAAAAATAATTTTTCTATTTAATGAATCACAATACATGAGATAGATGAGTAGCAGAAAAGCTTATATATATAGTTAATCTACCATATATAGGTATATAGTATACATATACAATATATGGTATATGGTGTATAATATAGTAAATTCAGAAGGATCTTTTTTCTAAATTCAATAAGCAAACTCTAATTCGATAAGGATATATATTGCAAGTATTTTGAAGATTATGCCATGAAATTTATAGGTTTTTAAAGTAAAAAAATGTATAAAAAATGCTTTACATTCATTTTAGATTAAGCACAAAAGAAAATTTTATTCTAAAATAAGAAAAAATAGGAGCTCTTTTCATTATTATAATAATATATTTTTATTGATTTTGCTAATTTTTGTTAATCTATTTTATTATGAAAATAATTGTTAAAAAAATTACATATTTCAGATATTCAGTTTATATTTATTTTAACTTTTTTATATTACAAATTCTTATTTATCTTACTTTTTTTGTATATTTATAAATACTATAATCAATTTGATCTTTTTTTTTTAAAAAAATTCTTTTTTTTATTTTTTTTTAAAAAAAAACACAAATATTCAAAAAAAATACAAATAAATCTAAATATAAAATACCTGTTTAATTATTAATAATTTTGTATATTTCAGATTACAAAAAATAATTCTCTTACTTTTTTTATACAAATTATTTCTTACCTTTCGTGAAGTTTGTAATGCTAATGATATATGAATTCACTTTTTATACTATTTAATAATTTTTAAACATTTTATTAAAGTTTATATAGAATAAACAAGTATATAAAATGCTATTAATTTAGTATTCTTGTTTAAATTTTAACCAACTTTAATAATGCTTGTTAAAAAAAACTAAATAAAAAATTAAATTAAAAAATATAAAAATCATTAAAAGAAATTTAAAATTTAAAATATAAATAAATTATAAATAAATTATTAAAAAACTAATAAATAAAATAAAATATTAGTAATATAATTGATAAAAAAAATTCTAGAGTATTAAGATTAAAAAGCAAAAAAATTATTAAAAAAAAAAATTTAAATTTAAAAAGTCTATTAATAAAATTGCATGTATTAAAAAATTAGAAAAAAAATGTAATTAATAACTGAAAAAAAATTAAATCAAAAATTAATTATTAAAATAAAATACAAATTAAAATAAAAATTAATTGAAAAGAAAAATTAAATTAGAAATTAATTTAATTAATAAAAATTAAACTTTTTTTTTTATTAAATGTTTTTAAAAATTTGGTTTTATATTTTTATTTATCATAAATGAAACTTTAAAGTTTAATTGAATTAGTTACTTGACCAATTATTTAATGCTAAATGGAAGACAAATTTTCTTATATATTGCAAACTCTAGTTAATTAAACTTAACGTTAACATTAAGTTTAAAAATAAAAAAATTAAATGAATATTTCGATATAAAAATCATAAGTTTAACAATATATTTTCTTAAATAAAAAGGATTTTTTTAATATTTAATGTAAGTATTAGATACTGAAATGGGTTTTTACTGTATTACTTAAATGTTAATAAAGTACAAGTATAGTTGTGAAGCAAAACCCCAAATCCATTTTGGCAAAAGTCAAAACTTTCAAAATTTGTTTCAATAATTTCAATGAGTTTTAATGAGTTTTGATAAGTTTCGATAATTTTAACAGATTTTAACAAGTTTTGATAGATTTCAATGAGTTTTGAAGTTTTGATAGGTTTGATAGATCTTGAAAGTTTTGACAGTTTTGATAAGAACTTTGCAAATTCTAATTAAGTTTGACAGGTTTTAACAGGTTTATCATATTACAAATCATAGAATATATAAAAGTTTTTTTTTAATTTTATCTAATATAATCTATTTATTGTAATAATAAGCAGCAATAAAGATGCAAATCAAAAAATTAGTAGAAGACTGGAAAAGAATATTTGAAAACATTTTATAAAAGGAAGCAAAAAGACTCCTAGGTATTATGAAACAACATGTAAAGCTTGTATGAAATTTTGGACAAGAGATAAATCAGAAATAATGGAAGAATATTTAACAAACTATTGTATTCAAGCAGAACCTTCAGTTATTCAAAAATATTTAAATATAATAGCTAATCATAATATTAATGATGATAGCTAAAGAAAACAAAAAAGTAAAGTTGTTTATGGAATAATAGATGCCTTTTTAAGTCCTATTAAATTATCAAAGAGAAAAGTAGAAAGGATTGACCGCATATTTGTAAAACTTTATATGGGTTGATTGCTAGAAAAATCAGATTCTAGGAATTTTTTAGCAAAATTGAGATTTTTATTGTATTTTAGTTTTTGATGTTATTAGATTAAAATGTATTAAACTCTTAATTTTAGTCAAAAATTTCTCAGAACCTAATTTTCCTAGAAATACTCCCATATGTGTAGGTATATTTTAGCGAATTATTAAATATCTATTTTTTTAGAGATCTTTAAAAAAACTTAATTCTATATATGAATTACCAACCTGCAAATATCTTGCTAGATGTTTATTAAAAAAAGAAATGTCAATTGTTAATAACAAAATCAATAGAGATTTCAACATTATATAAGTATATTTATTTTTTGTTTTATTAAAAATCAAAAAATTATAATATATTTTAACATAATTTTATTTTAAAAAGCTTTAGATAGATGGAATAGTAGTAAAAACTATTCATATTGAAACCTTTTAATTATTATATCTAAATGAAAGAAATATCTATATTGGCTATCAGATTTTTCAAATAAATCTCATACTGAAAATTTTTTAGCTACTAAAATAAAGAAGTTTAAGAAATTATTAGACTATAAAAAATCTCAACTATTGGTAAGTGATAATGGCCCTAATGTTAAATTAGCTAGAGTAAAAATCATCAAAATATATCTACATTTATTAAACATTCATTATATTGTATATGCAATTAATCTGATGGTATAAGATATATTAACAATTGAATTTACTGATCGAATGATCCATTATTGTAATAGTTTAGTTGTCTTTTTTAAAAAATCTGTACATGCAAGTAAGTATATTTTAAAATATATTATATGTTTTTAATTTAATTTAATACTTATTTTTTTAATATTTAATATTTATATATTTTTAGATGCTAAATTACATAAATTATAGCTACAAATAATATTGAAGGAGGTAATTTAAAAACTTATTCAAAAACCCAATGGACAACTGCAAATAAATGTGTAGCAAGTATAATTCACTTAGAATATACATTAAAAGAAGTAGTTTATTTATTATTAAGTTTAAATTACTATAATATTTATTTTTTAATTAATAAATAATACATATATTTTTAGATATATAATCAACATTCTGAATTATTACTAATGAGAAGATTGTATATATTATTATTCGAATAGATTTTTTTGCAAATTTAAAAATTTTATATTTTGTTTTATTACCATTAGCTAAAGCAGTTTTATTACTTGAAGCATGTTCTACTATATTAGGAGATTGTTATTTAGGATTAGCAAAAATTAATGCAGCAAATTAACAATTACCATTACAATATTTATCATTTAAACAAGATTGCTTTGATATTATTATTAGCCGATTAGAAGAGTATGATGATGATCTTTATATATTATCATATTTTTTATTATTACAATTTAGAGGTATTATTTTTATATTTCATATATATATTAGTTTTTTATGTAAATATTAATTTATACTTATTTTAATTTATTTTAATTAGGTGCAGGTTTTAAAAATGGACAATTTATCTGCATTGTAAAGGTTGCAGTAGAAATTTGAAAACAAATGGGAAAAACTTTATTATCTGCTAATATTTTTGTTGCTCAGTTATGAAAATATAAACAAAAACAAAATCCTTACCATCTTCCTTTTACTATTGGTTATGATAATCCATTAGCTTGGTGGAATACTATTGAACCAGAACTAAATTATTTGCAAGTACTTGCATTAAAAATGCTTTCAATAATACCCAATAGTGCTAGTTGTGAAAGAAACTTTTCAATGCTTAATTGGTTAACAGGAAAGAAGAGAATGCAAATAAATATAGAAACTCTTGAATCAATGAGTAATGCTAAAAAAGAACTTTCTTATCTTGCATTAGATATGACAGAAGAATCAGTAATTGAATTATTACGAGAAACAAATACTAAAGCAATGGATGAAGCAATAATTAATGAAGAATTACTACCTCCGATTATTGATTTTCCTAATGCTGATCTTCCATCT